ATATATATATATATATATATATATATATATATACACACCAATGACAAGATAGTGCAACAAGATCAATTACAGTTCATAACAACGTTCATTATATAATACACATTCACACAAGTAATGTAACAAACATAAACTATAATATGCATATGCATGTAGCATCAGTCAAATATATGTATAAACATATATGCATCAATTTATCGACTTGCCAATTTGTATGACCCGCACAAGATTCACACATAACAATTTGTCAATATGGATATGATACATGTCACACAAGACTTAATGTAATATCATGTTATAACGGTGCATATTCACAATTTGCCAATTTACTATTATATAATCCTTATAGGATCCACACACAACGATTTAATATAAAAATATTATAATAATTAATAAATATAATTAAAAATAATTTGTTTATAAGTTTAATGTGTTTAACTGTATTTTTAAATAATAATAGTAAAAGTTGATTAAAGAGAGTTTATAGATTAGTGTATATCGATTATAATATATTTATTGGTCTTATTATAATTAATGTATATAATATTTGAGACAATTATTAACTAATTTTAATATATAATATTGTCTCTACTAAAAAATTTAAATATTTATTATAATTTTAAATTATTATCCTACAATAATTTTGTGTAATGTTATTCAAAATATTATTTTAATAATTGATTTATATGGAATATGATAATTGACTGATATTTCATTTTTATTTCATTGTTTTGTTCACTTCTCCATTCAACAAATACAATAATTTTTTTTAAATTAATTATTATAATTCAAAAATTATTTTGAATGAATGTTTAATTTGACTTTCATTTAAATAATAGTATATTTGTTTGTTTTTTTTCATTCCATTAATATATACATTTTTTAAAATGCATTATAACTCAAACATTTATTTAAAAGAGTGATTTTTATAGTTTAATACTCAAAAAAACTATAAAAGTATTCATATTAATAAACATATTAATTTTATAAAAATATTTTTTTTGGTATATATATATATATATATACATATAATTTTTAAAATTATGTAAATAATTTTTACTATAAATAATTGAATAATATTCAAAAGTCACAACATCTTAAATAATTAATTGATTCTTGGACATTTTATTTATTTTTGTTTATAATGTTAACATAAAAATTGTTCCTATATAAATTGTTCCTTAAAAATATCATTGAAAAATTTAACGTATATACAACTTTAAATTTATTATATTTAAATAACAACTATAAATATTTTTAAATTTAGTAACTATTAAATTAAAATTTTGAAAACAATTTAACCTTTCATTTCATTGTAAGTTTGTAACTCTATTTTAATAAAACTAAAAGCATTAATATCGATATACACTGAATAAAAAATTTATGTTACTTTAATGTTTGAAAAAATAAACATATAAAACAAAATTAAATGCAATGGTTTCAATAAAATGAAGTGATACACTCTTACCTCATAGAACCTATGTATTGGATACTAAAAAAAAAAAAAAAAAAAAAAAAATCTATACACTAATGGGTGTTGGGATTAATATAGGTGATATCAGGTGTATATATAAGTGGCAAAATAATTTATCCTAGTTTTTGTGAGTAAAACTTGCGAGTCCTGCCATGTAAAATCAAAGCCAAAAAGGTGCCAAAACAAAGGCACCCCCAGGTGATGAAAGTGGTTCTGTGCATTCCATGTCCATGCATTTTCTATGTTCATATCCTCCTTTATGGTAAACAAGTGCAGCCAACTATCCAAACAGAAAGGACGCCACTGGAATGTTGACCACCACCACGTTATGGTTCACCGATAAATTCTTGGTTCCAAATAGTTCACTGGTAAATCACACATTCTCTACTTCCTAGCTATTCCTATCTAACACCAACCAGAACCTAGTGCATTTAAATTGTCACATAATTCAAATAATGGCTATAAATGTGTTAGTTGATCTACATCAATTAACACCAACTAGCCATCCAATAACCCCTCTACTCTTATTGAAATTTTGTGTTATGGTTTGCGTGTATGCAGGGTAAGAGTACAATATCAAGACCAGCTTCTATGGTAACATTAATGGCTCCAATTGCAGGTGTATTTTTCTTCTCGGCAAAACTCACCTTGCTCTCTATGTTGGCACTGTCATGATTGGAGTGTGCACTGGAGCCATCATTTCCATTTCTGTGTCCATCATCACTGAACTATTTGGATTTTGGAACCAAGAATTTTTCTGTGAACCATAATGTGGTGGTGGCCAACATCCCAGTGGGGTCCTTTCTGTTTAGATAATTGGCTGCACTTGTTTACCATAAAGGAGGGTATGAACAAAAAAAATATATGGGCATGGAATGCTACAGAACCACTTTCATCATCTGGTGTTGCCTCTGTTTCTTTGGCACTTTTTTGGCTTTGATTTTACATGCTAGGACTTAGCAAGTTTTACCCACAAAAACTATAGGATAATTTTTTTTTTTTTTGCCACTTATACGCCTGATATCACCTATATTAATCCCAACACCCATTAGTGTATAGTATGTTTTTTTGTAGAATCCAATATATAGGTTCAATACTAATCCCGTATATTTTTATTACTTGGTTATTCAGAAACACTAAATCGAGTATGACACCAAACAAATAGACAAGGAAATATGACCAGAAATCTACTCTTCTTAGCATCACTTTCACTCCTATTTCTTCTCTTATACCTACATCTTGATCTCTACTAATAGTACTATCTTCACCCTCTTTCACCTCGTTCTCTGTCCTTTCTTCATTCTGACTCTCCTCTACAGTAAAATGATAATCTCTTTGGTTTTCTCTATTTTTGTGCCATGACCCTACTAGTGAATTGACCTTCATGGAAAGTGAAAAGGGAACAAAAGGGTCACCAAAACACCAATAAGACTACCCAATGGACATATTTTGCTTGACACAAATTGCAAGCTGCTCACCACAGCATTCTTGTGTCCTAGGCCTTGTGATTTCAATTTCTCTAACCAGAGGAGCTGCTACACACTCGGCCAGCCAACAAAGGCAAAACCGAGTTCAAAAAGAGAAATGTTTTAGCCTTTTTGTGTCCAGGGACAGCATCAGCAATGCTGGTGTAAATCTTTGCACTTAACCCTTGGTTGCTAGTTGTCAAACCCACAGCAACTTGGCGATGACATAGCAGACGGTGTTAATCCAACAAATGTTGTTCCCTGTTAAAACAGTTAGCAAGAAGACATGTCAATAGGAGAGGGAGGAGATTCGGTTTGTTATGAAGACTGAAGAGATATTGACACCATAGCCAACTAGGCCAAGAGTTGAACCTATCATGAAGACAAGCCAAGGGGATGATCCAGTGGTTTCAAACAAATGCTCTCGGGTTAAATGGAATAATGTGGCTCTGCTTGTACACCATGTACTTATATGGCTTCCTCATTTTTCTTCTTAACATATATACCCGACACCACACCCCATCTCTTCTTGTGAATCAAAGAGGTGCAGCTCAAATTTTCTCATTTATATTCTTCAAAAAAAAAAATTATATATAAATAAAGGTATGAATGTAAGATACTTTTTTTTGTAAAATGCATTAAAGAAGGAAACATATTACTACACTAGCATTGAAGCTTTTGCTCTTGCGATTTCCCTCGGTGCAATCAACTTAACAATCAAATAATTGATGCAAGAAAATAAACTATTTTTGAATCATGAGAAATTTACTCATTAAAATGTTGATAGGAAAA